ACTTCTCCTTTATATGTCCTTTAAGACATCCACACAAAGGCCTTGATATTAGTATTAACCGAATATGATCATTAAAATAGATCATGCTTATTCCATGAACAGATCCCCTTCTCTGCGTAAAATTTTGTGATGTTAAGCGGCCAGAATAATATTCAGAAATATAGTTTTTGGTCCATTTGATCTTCTAAATATTAAGGGATAATTAACAAAATTAATAGGGTCTTCTTTGGTACGAACCGAGCCTACATGCAAAATAACTGAATTTTATATTGAAAAGACGTACGATCGGACGGACATACATTTCGACTAAGGTAGTCCAGATATCTCGACTCGCCTTAAAAACTCTTGGGACCACAAAAATCTATATTATCTACTCTTACAACACAGTTGTGATCACTATATATCCTTTTTAAGGGCTACTACAGATTATTCTGGCAACTTTAAAATGCATAAAGAAACAGCTCTATATCTTTGTGTGCGTCTTTTGTTGGATATTCATCAAACTACATGTCTTCAGTAAAAGCGAATGAGAAAAAAATGTAAATCATATCATCCTTCCACATCGAAATTCACAAAACGAATTGCCAGAAAATTGTCGGTACGAGCAATTTATTTCAAGTTCTATTCCCCTTGCCCCTCTCTCCTTCAAACAAAGACTTGCCGCAATTAAACTCGCCTAATATAAATGGGAATTAATTGTTATAAAATAATGTGTTGTATTTCTTTAAAGAAATCAATATTTCTATTACAAATCGAAAATTAATCCCACAGCATTTCAAATATATTAAATATATTTTTTATTCTTAGAACAAATTTACAATTTTAATGAGCGTAATGTGATATTTCGACCCCCAAAACGGGAATATTCTCATGCTCTGTAATCCTTGATTATGTTCCTTAATCAAGAAGCATTTATAAATGAAAAATAAATACTTCAAGGACTGCCTCATGTTTCATCAAAAGGCTTCATTTCATGATATTTGTTTTAGCTGTTATTGTGCAATTAGGAAACATACACACATACAAAAACATAGACACAGATTGTTTGGCGTTCATTTTAGCGGCAAAATTGACTTCTATTATAAAATGCCGCACTACAAACGAAGAATAGAAGAAAAATAATTTTCTAATTGTTCAAATTTAGTACATAGACTATTCTATTTATAGTATTTCTCGAAAAGAGCATTAGACATTTGTTAAAAATAAAATTAGCTCACGTTTTTGTACTAGTCTATAGATATTATTTAAAATAATTGTTTGACAAAAATTAGTGGCAACATGCACTTAATATATATATATATATATCATATATATAATATATCTTAGTCCACAATGTCTGTTTTTTCTATATACATGAATGTGTGCTGAACCGAGTACAATAATTAGCTACATATCTTGAAATTTTCTTCATCATCCCTCATTAACATGTTGATATATATTTTTATCTATCACAATTAATTCTTAATTCCAAGAATCCTTCATTAGAAATTACCTTTAAAAGTAATTCTCTTAGTCATAGCATAGCATCAGTTTGTTTAACATATTTACAATATTGTGAAATAATAAAATAAACAAAAGAACATGAACTAGAAATCTATTTTGCACATCGTATATCTAAAAAACACATGTTGCTTGGAGTATTGCCAAGAAAAAACGATGTGCAAAGAAAATAAAAATAGTCGGAAAATTAAAACTACCTGTGATGCAGCAGCAATTTTCAATTCATGAACACAATTTTCACAAAGGGGTGTTTCTTAATAAAACGATAGACACTGTTTAATTGGAAATAAATTGTCGAGAATGTTTTTTCATTAAGTGTACTATCCAATAGATATATTTATTATACTGGTAGAGGTGGACAAGACATCTCTGCAGTCTAAGTAATAGATAACAATGCAACAAGATTGTTTTTGGGTGGAAAATGACTTATGTGGGCGACTATATTAAGAACACAAAAGGGAAAATTCGCAGTAGATCATGTTTTTGAGTTTAACAGTGATGTTTTTTATTTGTTTATCCTCTCTCTATCTCTATTTCCTGTCCATTTTTCCTATTAATTTCTTAAACTGTAAAATAAGTACCACAAGACGATATTTTGATATCGAAATATTCTACAAAATTTTCGCTCCTGAGATTGTAGATACGGTTATCAAGGACATGAAATCGGCACTATTATGTTTGCATCGCTATTTTCCACTTTACCCGAATTTAGCTTAGAAAACATACACACTTATAAGTTTCGCATAAATTGTAGTTTAAAAGGAACTGTCGGATTCTGCTAAAGAGTCAAAATAATAATGAGTAAATTTCAACGAATTTCAAGTTCTTTTCTTTGGGGACCCAGCCTAAAATGTTATGAACGACATTTTTTTTAGAATATTCCGACATCAAAAAATTTCTTTTTATGGTATTTAGATTAGGGTTCAAGAAAATAAGATCGAAAAAGATACGTAAGGATTCATTAGATTTGACTGCGGACACGTGATCTGAAAAATAACCTATATCAATAAATCAATAATTCTACCTATAACGTGTTTGTCCTTCTGGGTTCTTAAGATACTCGAAGGGGCTTTCGTCCACATGAAGAATTTTGAAATTCACAAAATTTTGGTGCACAGGGTTATAACCACCCTGGAATTTTTCGTAGCCCTTAGGACAACTAGCGTCCTTGGATCAAATCTGTTTCAGACAATTTGGAGACAGATTAGAATCATCCGCAAGTTTTCCTGGCCGCCTTTCGGCTTACTCTTTTAGAAAGAAAATAAAATTATAGTATTATGCAAACCAATTACTCTATTTGATCTTCACACATCATACAATTTTTGAAATTTTATTTGACAGAACATAGGTGAATTCCAAACATAAAACGTTTTCGCCTAATTTCTGTGTGTTTAAATGTCCGAACAACATGTCCAATCGAACTTCTAATGCGGCCATATAGTTTTTGCACGAGTTTTTTTTTAATATTAGATTAGGGAAATTTTAATTTCCGATTTGGTCTAAATATGCACCTTTTGTTCAATGATTTGTTGCCATTTTTAAAGGTAACTTTATAATGCTTCTCTCATAGAAGTCCTGCTATCTATTTTCAAAAAAAAATTCTACTAATCGATTTTCACAATCCTCCCTAAATACCAATTTTTTATAATTAAAGAAATTTTGCAATGCAAGAAAAAGAAGGTAATCGCTTGGTGCCAAGTCCGGACTGTATGGCGGATGCATTAAAACTGCCCAACCAAGCTCCCGAAGTTTCTGGCGAGCCACTGTAGATGTATGTGGCCTAGCGTTGTCCTGGTGGAACACGACACTTCTCATGTTGGTCCAATTGTTGACAGTAGAGATCAGAATTTAGCGTTTGGCCATATGGAAGCAACACATAATAAATAATCCCCTTCCAGTTCCACCAAATGCATAGCAGAACCTTCCTGACCGTTAGTCCTGGTTTGAGGTGCTTCACCGCTTTTTGACCACGATAGTTTTCGCACAGGGTTATCGTATGTGATCCATTTCTCATCTCTAGTCAACATCCGTTTAGGGAATGGGCCTATCTCATTCCGTTTGGTCAAGGCTTCGCAGATGGAAATTCGATCCATCCTATTTTTTCTGTTAATTGGTGTGGCACCTAAACATCGATCTTCGATCATTTCTTCGATCAATTTCGATTTCTCCGATTTTATTGACATTTCGACGACTGGCCTAATGGATTTATTTTTCCACAATCAAATATATTTCCATATTTTGACATTTCATCAAGGCCCTTGCTCTATATAACCGATGTGGCATAAATTTGATATTTAGATATATGAGGAGGTAGTTTAGTCCCCATATAGATGTAATACAGATGTCATTTGGAGCATTTAAAACATCCTAGTCGTAAGATCAGACTGAAGTGGTTGTAATTTAGCATGTTGGGTTCTTAAAGGAGGAAATATTCAAGTAGAAAGTGTTAAATACGCTGTACCGTAGTACCTCCCTCGGCCCCTTGGCCCACATTTGTTTTATATTTTCTATATCCTGTCCCATTTCAGGTATTATGAAGGTTATAGTCCAGTTTCCAACCAAAGTGATTGCATATTACGAATTAAGCTCCTATCCTATTGGCATTTCGGATTCTCAGAGGACCCATGTATTGACACAAATTTCTCATCTTTGGTATTTTTAAGGACGTATCCACCTCAAAAGACTGCAATTTCACATATTTGACTATAGAAAAGTATAATACATACTGCCAGATAAGTATACGCAGATGCAATTTTTACATAGCTGCATCAAAGCTGTACGCCAATTACTACTCTTTGTAACATTTGATATCGATTGTTTCTATATCCTGCCGTATAGATTGTCCGATAATTTGAAATGGTTTTCTAGCTACCACACAATATCTAATCATATTGCAAACATTGGCCGTTTAACTGCGACATACGTAAATATATATGCACATTATACGTATTTTATGGCTATTAACAGAGACTGCCACAATTAAGACAAGAGCATTGGCTTGTCACTAAAAAAATGCTACATACAAACATATGTGTATTTTCACACAACATGGGGTCATGTAAAAAAAGACATACAAACAGGTTTAGGATTTTATATGGCATGCTGGGCAATTGTGAAAATAAAAAGTGATTCAGTTATACTATATGACGTGGTCTGGTCTATATGGTGTATACTATACGTCATATGTGTGGTATGTGACGTCACACAAATACTGATTGTTTTTATACTACAAATCGTGAATACCCCCCTGCTTGTGGGAAACCACTTGGCTGAGCAGAAAACAGACAAATTTAAAACGTGACAACAACAAACAAATAAAAAATATACTACACACCAAATGTCAACGAATCTATTTGAAAAAGTGAAAGCTTATCGACAATTATAGACATGTTTGAACAAGTCTATTGACATTTTCTTATCATTAATTTATTAACAATTACTTAATTAATTGCTGTTATTTGTTTTCTTATCTTTTCAGATTAACAACTTTTTGGATTCTATTTTTTGAAGTTTAAAGTAAAGAAAACAAGACAACAACATGTATCCCTTTGTAAGTATTAGTTAAATATTAAATTATATTGTAAAATAAATTTATAATTTATGGTGTTTGAAATATAAAACATAGATATTATTTTGTGTAAAGGGTGTTTCATGTATGGAAATCGAGAGAATACAAATATTCTTCGACTTAAGTTTTTTTTCTCACTAAATTATGTCCTTCTTGTCTGAATGTAATAAAAATATATATGATAGCTCCATGTTGTTTTTTTGAGGTTGAACCCCGGTAGGAGGTGAATCCTATCACTGTTGTTGCTGGAAGGTTCTATCTCCATATGTTTGCCATTCTTGCTTTTCATGTTGACGTTTCTCTTTATGTCGAATGTATGTCTTGAAGACTCTAGAATTCGATTGAAAAAAAAATTGAACCCCGAATTTTTCCCCAATATTGGAACAAATTTATGTTCAGAGATTTAATGCAACTATCCTAAATAGGATATACACCAAATTTGATCGCTACATCCTTGCATTCGGGAAATACAGTACATTCTTTCGGAAAAATTAAAGTCCAATATCAAGAAAACCAAATGCAAAATCGACAGAAAAATCATTTTAACCCGAATAGTGCTGTAATTATTTTTTTCGAATTTTGGGACGCAACTTTCCGCGTCTCTGCATTGTGGGTCACCGAATCCAAAAATTTGGTTTGTATCCTTTTTTCCTAATCGGCAGGATACATTTTTGGGCTGTGATCATATGTTCACACTAGCACTGCTCGGGTACAGATTTTTTAGATGATTTATTGATCGTCTTATGAGTGTACCCATATGGTCACGCTAGCACAGCTCGGGTTAAATTATTCTCTATATTCATTTTTACAAGAATCAAAAATAATTCAGATGGCAGAATTCGTAAAATTTGAATACGAAGCGATTTAAATAATTTGGACTGTATACATAAATTAGTACTGTACACAAATTTACCCTCTTCTTTATATTGAAAAGCAAATAACTTTACCAAAATTTTGATTGTTATACCCTACACAACTATGTTGTCAGGGTATTATAGCTTTGTACAGCCCCAAGACTTTATAACGCCGCGAAATATTGGTCCTAGACCCACCTTTAAGTATACCGATCGTCATATCTCGACTAGCTGAGTCGATCTAGACATGTGTGTCCGTCCGTCCGTCTGTCCATTATAATTTGTAAACACGATACAGGACACATTTATGGACCAATCTTCACGAAATTTTGCATATAGGAAGAGTTCAGCCCAATGAAGCCCCCTTTGTGTTTGTTAAAGATTAGTTAATAAATGGATGGACAAAATACTTAATTTTTGTCGGCTTTTCTGGTCGCTCCAGAGGCCGCAATTATGGCCCAAACATCTCGAATTTTTACATGGAGAAGGTGATTGGGCCAAAGAATAAGCATGCCTGTTTTGATAAAGATCGATCAATATTTGGCGAGTCAAATGGACTCTGATTTTTGTGTGAAAAATGACAACATTTGTATTCTATGGCGTATATATTTGCCCCTGAAGGACCTAGATCCGAGAAGTTAAATATAAGCTCCGAAACATTTTGGCATCAAAGACATTGGGCCACAAAGTGTTAAAGACCGTTATCTTGACTTTGACACCCGTAACAAAAATTTACGATGTGGCATTGACAGTCCCGGCAAAAAATCATAATTCAATCTTTAAAAAATACATGCTCGGGCTTTTATCAATCTGATAAAATCCACTCTTTGTGGCTCCGACAGTGTATATGATCACCCTGACGAATACATCATCTCCCTATGATTGTCCTTGAAAAAGTATACGTTCTGTGACTCAATTTAACAAATCTACGCTTTTCGTAGCTTAAATTATAGAAACTTCTTTAAAAATTGCTCAGTAGTGACACTCTTCTCTAAAATCTTTAAAAAAAATAGAATATTTTGGCGATGTCAATCTTATCCCGCCTTATGGCTATGACAATCTTCTCTAAAAATCGGCGCATTATGGCTCCGAAAGTCTTGTTGAAAACACAAGCCTTATGGGTCTGATAATCCTCTAAGAAATTCAAGCCTTATGGTTCCATGCCTTACGGACAATCTTCTACACAAATACACGCCTTATGTTTTGACAGCCTTTTAAAAAATCCATGCTCTGATCGTCCTTTCGAAAATAATTTTTAAAAATCAACACTCTAATCGTCCTTTCAAAACATTCTTCAGTAAATCTACGCTCTAATCGTCAATTCAAAAACAATTTTTAAAACATTAATGCTCTTAATGTTCCTTAAACCAATCCTTAACCACGCCTTGTATTGGTCCTTGAAAAAATATTCTTTAAAAAATCCACGCCATGTATTTGTCCTTGAAAAAATATTCTTAAAAAATCCACTCCGTTAATATTGGATAACTATTCCTTGACAATTATTTTGTTAAAGAAATATTAATTATTACAAAACATATTAAGACATCTATTTTTTAATATTTGTTTTCTCTTGATTCTCAATATAAAATATTGAAACAGCCTTTATACATAACATCTATTCATAAGTGTATTTTTTTTAAATTTATTTGTTTTAAATTAAGATAAACATATTTTGGTTTCATTTTGTGGTTTATAATAAAGACGATGTGGTGTGGCATGTGGCAAATATTGTAAGATATTGTATAAATAAATAACTTTTGTATAATTTATAATTTTTATCAGCACCCAAGCTATTTAAAATATAATACACATCAAGTGCTAATGAGTCACTTGTCCATATTTCATTGAATTCTGTAACTTTTTATTGCTTTGCCAAGTGATTAATTTTCAGTGGACAACATTTTATTGAATCTTCTAAGACTTCAGACTGGGCCCTTTAAGCGTGGAAATTCATTAAAAGACATTGCCCTTGGAACAAGGAATGAAGGCTTTTAAATATAAAAACAGAACAACTTCCCTCACATTATTAATAGAATGTTAAAAAAAATTGAAACTATTGGAATTCTGAATAAATTTCCAATTGATATCTTAACTGAGCGAAAAAAAATGTTTATTCAGTAATGTGGGCTGTATGATGTTGATTATTGGTCCTTTAAAATTTCTAGTTGTAAACCTGACATGTTGGGGGTTTTTGTATACTAAATTTGATTTTAATTAGAACCGCTTAGGAAATAATATTTCTAAAATAATTTGCAACGTTTGTGTGTTGTATGTCTACAATCGACATTAGAAACAAAAATTCGCCACATTTCCGCACTTACAAAACAGCAATCATAATTCTCTGACATTTCGGCCCTTAGAACAAAAATTCCACATTCATTTCATCCTCCCACCTTTTCACCAACTCCATATGTGTTGCACAAATGTCTGATCTGTCATTGAACTTTTTTCGTTTTGTAGGGTTCCGGCATGCCACAACCACATCCTCCCACATCAACGCCTGGTTATAATCCACAACCGAGAATGCCAGCCGGTGTACCATTTGGTGCTGGTTGGGTAGCACCAACCCAACATCCACACCAACAACAACAGCAGCCGCCAACAAATTCAACACCACATCATACCCCATATCCCACAACAAATGCTCCCTATCCTCAAACTAATCCAGCACCCTATCCTACAACTAATCCCTCACCCTATCCACCAACTAACCAAGCACCCTATCCCACTGCAGGACCCTATCCCCATCCAACACCCTATCCAAGTAATGGTAATCAATCCTCACCCTATCAGGGTTCATCATACCCTCATAATCCCCATCAACAAACACCCTATCCCACATCGACTGGATCACCAGCTCATTATCATCATAATCCATCAACACCATTTGGCGGCCAGACACCCACTCATCCCACAGCATACAATCCCAATCATGGCTATACACCGGTTAGAACCTCAATGGGATTAGAATCGCCGGCTGGCAATATACAACATTGTTTCGAAGAGTTGGCCCAAAGGCAAGGCCATCCCATACAACATCACTATACTGCTCCACGGAGAGAGGTTAGTGTCCTAGCTAATTTGTTTGTTTTGTTCTTTCTCTTGGGTATTTTTTTGGTTTTCTTTTTTCGTTGTTTTTAATTAGTTCTTGTTGATTTGTTGTTTTTTGTTTTAAATCTTTTTGGGATTTTTCTTTTTAATTGCCACTATGAATTTTCTAAAGAATATTGGATTTATTGAAAGTTTTACCGAAGATGATTTAAATAATGAAATTGCTTCGGAAATTTCAATTGAAGAAAATTGCTATGGTGCGGGAATGTTTACATATGAAACACATAAAGATGTATGTACAGATACATATACATATGTATAAATAATTTATCTCACATTTTGTATAATTGTAAGCTTGTGAAATTGTATTTACTTGGTAAGCTTTTCATTGTGCTTAAGCTAGAAATTATTATTTTCATTTATATTCTTCTTTACAAACACATATGAACGTAAATATGTATGACAATTTTTTTGTGTAAAATCCCCTGAGATTGCGTGTAATTATATCTGAGTCATATTTTATTATAGTTGGACCTGCTACTGACCAGATCGACCACAAGTGGTTCGCTTATTGGGAATTAATGATTCGGCTAGAATGACTGGGGATTTTCATATAAATATTTATTCAAAACATGTTCATTTTCAGTTTATAAATCTGAGTTATTTTTAACGTACTACTTGAAAAAAAAATATTCTTTAAAAAATCTACGTTCTAACAATCCATGAAAAATATTCTTTACAAAATCTGAGCTCCAATAGACATTGAAAAAATATTCTTAAAAAATCTAAGCTCTAACAGTCCTTGGAAAAAATCTACGCTCTAATAGTCCTTGAAAAAATATTCTTTATCAAATCTACGCTCCAATGTACATTGAAAAAATGTTCATAAAAAATCCACGCTCTAATATTCTGTGAACAAGTTTTCGTTCAAAATATATTCATTTTTACAGGGAACTGCATATGTCAAAAGAGCTAATCAACAAACACACCAATATTGGCCATAATTACAATTTTAGTACCATTTAGTTCCTTTGATATCATATAGCACGTATTTCCAATTCTGATCGCAACATAAATCTAGCTTTTAACTAATTTGGGTATTATTCATGGCCTTTTGTACTCTTGTAGTACTTATTTCCAAAATTATTTCAAATTGCATGACTTAATCTTCACCCGAGTCTAAATTTTATCAAATTTAGTACCATTTAGTACACATTAATAAAAATCCAATAGAAATCATATTTCCCATTTTCAGGATTCCAGCCCTTTCGCTTTACTCAAATTTAATTGTACTAAATTTAGTACCATTTCGAACACATTAGTATGAATTTCCAAAACTTCCTTCATATCTCCATCCTACACCCTGACAGTGATCCTAACTCCAAATGTCAAGAATGTCCATAACCACATTTGGTACCATTTAATACAAATTTCCAAAACTTCCTACAGACCCCAATCTTACACTCCAACAATGATTCCAATGTGATTCCAGCTCTATCAGTTCACCCAAAATTCAAATTGTACAAAATTTAGTACAATATAGTAGTATACATTTCCAAATCGTACCAAATTTAGTACCATTTAGAACACATTAGTATGAATTTCCAAAGTTTCCTACATATCCAAATTTTTAAAAAATCTAAGCTCTAACAGTTGTTGGAAAGAAATCTACAGTGACCCTAACTCCACATGCCAAGATTCCAGCTCCTTCGGTTCACCCAAATCTGCATTTGGTACCATTTAGTTGAAATTTTTAAAACTTCCTATAGACCACAATCTTACACTCCAACAATGGGATTCCTGCCCTATCAGTTCACGAAAATTCAAATTGTACCAAATTTAGTACCCATAAGTATGAATTTCCAAAACTACATCCATACCTAACCACATTTGGTAAAATTTAGTACAAATTTCCAAAACTTCATACATACCCCAATCTTATAGTCAGGATTTCAGCTCTATCGATACGATACCATTTAGTACATTTCGTACACATTTCTAAAACTACTCTCTACAATCCGCCGTTAATGGTAATTTCAAATTTTATGATTCCAGCTTCATCTGTTTCTCCAAATTCAAATTCTACCAAATATAGTACTGTTTAGTACTTTTCTCAACTTTAAGTTGCATTGCAAATTTCAAGTTTTTAGCTCTATCCATTCACGCAATTGTACCAAATTTAGTTCGAATAAAGTTCGAATTTCAAAATGAACTTTGCTACATCTATTCTACAATCCATCAGTGACCCTCATTTTAAATTTAAGGGTTCTAGATCTACCAGTTCGTCAATTTAGAACGTTCCGCTCTGTTTCGTTCCGTTATAGTACGAATTTCAAAAATCCCAGCAATATCAAGATTCTAGCATCAGCCGTTTCGTCTGGGAGTTGATGAATCGTTAAATCAGTCAGTAAGCCAATCACTTAAATCGTTTAATAGTATAGATTGCCTATATAGCTTCATGTTTAAAAGATCCCGCCTAATTTTCGATATCTTGTGAATTTTAGCCGAATTTTCCAACGGAACAGTCTCTAAGTCAAAAAATAGGAAAAGTGTCCTCAACGATATGCAGACAAAGAAATTCTTATAAAGCAATAGGTCGGTATGTCACCAACAATGCGGCAACAGTGTGAACTCGAATACTTTTTTCTGTTTTTCATCTTGGGAGCATAAGGCTTCCATAAAGCACATCCATACTCTGTTAGTTCTTGGGTTTGATTATGAAATTCATATTCCAGCTGATTGGTCTTCTGTAGCCTGTGATAGATAATGGCGCTGACGTCTCTCGTTGCCTAGAAACAACGCCCTCTTGAATGTTGGCCAGTGGTTGGGATCTTTGCTTATTTTCTGTTGCCAATTCCCTCTAGATGGCGTTTGTATCATTTAAGATATTTTGAATATATGGTGGAGAGTGTAAACCTTGCATTGATTGCTTTAAATCAGACGTTAAATTTTCCTTTTTGATCAGACGTCGTAATTATATCATCTAGATAATGTACCTGCTTCCTCTGCATTGATTGTGGTTCCTAGGTGTGGATTATGGGATATAAAATGGCTTAACATCCTAAATATAAATATGCCAAATTCATCACATATAAGTCACTCTTCGGTCTTTAAATTGAAATATCTTCAAAGGATTTCACTTCAATCTTTTTCAATTTTCATAAATTTGGCGAACGTTTTATGATACAATGTCTATGGAATATTTTTATATGGCTGATAATCTCTCAATAAGAATTAGATCCTCTGATACATACTGCGCGACTCTTAAAGGGAGTAACAGATTTCGTCCAAATTGTGGATATCGTACCATTTCTTCGGTCCACTCCTTTTGGTACCTTCCACACAAAATGATCAACATTTTGCTGGAAATTAATTTGTTACTATCACGCGAACGGACTAATCCAGACTTGTAATTTAAGTTATACCAATTTTAATCCTCTTTAGATTTCACTTAAAATTGTTGGTGTAGTTTCATAGTATAAGTTTCCAAAGTAATTATTTTGTTTAACATCACTTCCTGCAAGTTTGTCAAAAATAGCCATTTAAATTTTCGTTTTAGAAATAACTACAACTTGCCCCCGTATTTTTAACTCCAATTCAAAATGTAGAGTTTGTAATCCCCCCGTGAATTCACTTAAATATTAAAATTATTAATCATTACAATTTGTTTTTGTTTACAGGGAACTCCAACTGTATTCCCAGCCCAGAATTTTGATCCCGTCAAAGATGCCCATGACTTACGCAAGGCCATGAAAGGCTTTGGCACCGATGAGGATGCTCTCATCAACATCATATGCCGTCGTTCTAATGAACAGAGACAGGTATATTCATATTTATATTATTGCATTTTTAATAATAACAGATCTAATTTTAAATCATTTTTTCCAGGAAATCCAACGCCAGTATAAAACACATTTTGGAAAAGATCTTATTGAGGATATACGCTCCGAGACAAGTGGAAATTTCGAAAAGCTGTTGGTGGGTCTGTTGCGTCCCATTGTTGATTTCTATTGTCATGAGCTGAATGATGCCATGGCTGGTATTGGTACTGATGAAGATGTTCTCATTGAAATTTTATGTACTCTATCGAATCATGAGATTCACACAATTAAAAATCAATATTTAAGATGTAAGTAGTAAGAGAGATTTACTCGTCTGAGAGTTATATGTGAATTATTTTTGTAATTTTTTTGTTTTTTATTCTTGTAGTATATGGTGCCCATTTGGAATCGGAATTAAAATCCGAAACATCTGGTAATTTCAAACGCTTGTTGGTCTCATTGTGCACCGCGGCTCGCGATGAAAGCGGTCACACTGATCGTGCTGCCGCCCAAAGCGATGCTCGTGAATTGTTAAAGGCTGGTGAGCTGCGTGTCGGCACAGATGAAAGTATGTTCAATATGATTTTGTGCCAACGCAATTATCAGCAATTGAAATTGGTAAGCATCGAGAGAAATTGGACAAAAAATATTCTGTAAAATTTTCATCTTTAACTTAGACAAGTTTTGAATTTCGTATTTTAAAAAGCCCTCTGTTTGTGAATAGCGTTCTCGAAGTCTACCTTTCAACATCATTGATATCATCAATAATGCAACACTCTTTAGTACGCCGAAAAATACTACCCCCAGAAGTCTAAACTTCGTAGAGTTTATAATGTGGTGTGATATCTCCAGAGTACTTTACCCGGTATTTTCATTCCCTCCAGACGATCGTTGTTTATTATGATAAATGTACAATAAGTCAAAATTAGGAAAAGTGTCCTCAAGGATATACAGACAAAGTAACTCTTATAAGTAGGTATGTGATGTAGTCTGTCCTAGTTAATGGGGCTGTCGTCTATCGTTGCCTAGAAACAACGCCCCCTTGAATGTTGTCCAGTGGTTTGGGTCTTTAATTATTATTTATTGTCACTTTCCTCTAGATGGCGGTTCTGTTTTGATTTCCATATGCCGAGATTATTTATTAGACATCAAGTTCATTTCGAGGGGACTGTAAGTCTCTTTTTACAAATATTTAAAATCAACTTTCAAATAATTATTCTCCTCCTTTGGGCGATGTTATTTGGGAAACCATCGTTTTGTAGTCTGGCTCACTACCCACTTCACTCTTCTATAGGCAGAATACCTCCAGCTCTTCTATAAGAAGAAGTCATCCCGATCTTCTTAATGAAGAATACTTCAAACTCTTCTATGAGAAAAAGACCTCAAGCTCTTCTATAAGAAGAAGAAGACCTCTAGTTATTCTATGAGGAGAACAAAATTTGTTCTATGGGAGGAAGATCTACAGTTCTTCTATATGATGAATACCTCCAGCTCTTCTATAAGAAGAAGACGTCCAGCTCTGCTATAATACGACCTCCAGCTCTTTTATAAGAGGATTCTTCCATCTCTAATTATTCAGATGTCTTGTAAACTGCAATATGTTGTCTCCTCATGAATCCAGTGAACCATTAACATGAGCTAAGTTGACGATTACTCTTCTATAGCCTTATAGGTGATTGGTCTTCCAACAATTTTGTCCAGAGTTTGGGATCCTTGCTTATTTATTATCTCCTGTCTTGTCTTTTTTGTACTAACCTTATTTTTGATGTTTAGGAAACACGAATTCGTGAGCTTCGGATGCATTTAATCTTGGAAATATTTATCCTTCTCCTATGGGATTCAAACCCGAAACCCATCGGTTTGTGGTGTGGCACAGAATCTATTTCATTACGCCAAACTTCAACAAAATGCCTTCTCATGACTCCAGTGGACCATCCAAATGAGGTGACGACGTAGTACCTGCCTGTGTGTTTTAAAGAGCCGCCCTAACCATAATTGGCAGAATAAAATGTCCCCTCTCATGAGTGTCAGGATCTGGGTAGAGAGAGAGAGAGAGATCCAAAGGCATAGAAAGATAATCTCTAGATCAGGAAGCCTAGCGTTCAGGTCTGAATAATATAAACATTGAAGTAGTTGAAAAGCATCAGCTGCCTAGGGAGATCAGATTAGTCTTGATGAGATGTTATCGCCTCTATTCGTATTGGATGCGGATTAATGATCATCAGCATAATTACTACCTTGGTTGTGGTATATGTCCTTAAACGACCTTTTTAATAGCCTCCCAAACCTACTAAACATAATCCTGAAGATATGTGGTTCCAGCCACTGGAAGTGGCAGCATTTATCAACTGATAGATTCAGAATCTAAAAAGATGGAAACGCAACATAATATTAGGGAACTTTACGTTTCATATGTTTCCCGGAGGATAATGTTGCCGGTCTGTTCTGGTTCAGACCTAGTTGGGCATGTGTGAAATAGCTTACATGCAGATGGGAGGTTATTACTATCATGGAATTTAGATGAGGCAGCTGCAGCAACCTTAGAAATAATGAAACCTTAGAAACAATGACAGGTGAGACCAGGAAGGGACCACCTTCCTCTTGTTGCCATTGTATACTGGCAGAATTGCAGGTCTAACCTCACGAAATTCTAGTAAAAAGTGTGGCAGCAATTTGTATTGTAAATGACCTACGTTTTGGTACTGCCCCATATAACAGTAACTCAATATTCGGTATTTTTGGGTATCGTTCGATTTTAGGTATTTCGAATGTCCTCTTCATGAAGTTGGGTATACGATCCTTTCAACTGGTTTTCGGAATGATCTGAATGAATTAGTAGTCAATTAGATATACGGTATTCAGAGGTCATTAATATCTGATAAAATATTTTTATTTTGAGTGAAAACCACCTGAAATATCTCTAGCCCCAATAACATTATTATTTTTATTTATTTCAGATTTTCCAAGAATACGAAACAATGACCGGGCACTCCTTGGAAAAGGCAATTAAAAAGGAATTCTCTGGTGACATCATGGAAGGTCTAATTGCCATTTGTCGTTGTGTTAACAACAAGGCTGAATATTTTGCTTCACGTTTGCACAAGAGTATGGCTGGCATTGGTACCAATGACAAACAGTTAATACGTGTGATTATCACCCGGTGTGAGGTAATTATAACAAAACAACTGTGTTATTAAAAAATAAAATATTAATTTTATTTTCCCATCCTTTGACAGATCGATATGGCTGACATCAAGGCTGCCTTTGAACGTATGTACGGCAAGAGTCTAAAGAGCTGGATTAAGGGCGATACCTCAGGACATTATAAACATGCTCTGTATGCATTGGTTGGGGAACAACGTTCAAATTCTTAAGATCACAAAATCAACATACATACACATATTGTTATACAAAATAAAAAATGAGGGTGGGCAAAGTCCATTAAAAAACAATTATTAATATTGAATAAAATCAAATCGAATATTTTTCTCACAAAAAGGAAACTCTATTAGAACTACAAGTATTTTTTCTAAACATTTTTTAAAAAGCTTATTATATTATATGATAAATAAAAATAACAACAACTATTTGTATTAAATAAACATTGAATATATATTTTTTAAATTGGACCAGTGACAAAATTAAATACTAAAACAAAATCGTATACCATTTTTTATAAAAATTGAAAATGAATATAAAAAAAATTAAAAATTCTGGAAATTTTATGTTAAAAATATATTTTATATTCAATATTTCAAAACAAACAACTTTTAAATATTGAAATTGTTCCCATGTTATATATAAATGTAATGTACTTTATTATTCACACAAAACAATCAATCAATAGTTGGTTTTTTGCCTTTTTAATTCCTATAAAATTTATAAACTTAAGAGTATTTGACTAACAATGAAATGAACATCTAATCTACAACTACAAAAAAGGAAATGCATTTAATGCCACTTTTGATACAATAATAATGATAACCCCAATGAAATCTCATTACAGTGTCTTTTCTAGCTGTTATACTGTCATATTGTTCATTACAAATATACATACATAAATAAAACAACTATTAAAAATATAAAAGCATTTTTAAAATATTTTTTCTGATTATAAAAACTATAAGTCCGGTTAAAAAAAAATAGGGTGGATTTGTTGAATCGTGCATTTTATAAACAATATTTTTCAGGGACTTTTAAAGTAGTTTCTTTAAGGATACATTTTGCAAGGGTGGACTTTTTAAAATAATATGTTACGAAAGCGTGGATTTGTAAGCATATTTTGTCAATGTGGATTTTTGAATGATTATTTTGTATGTGTCTTTCCAAAGTATGGATTGCTTAAATAATATTTTTCAAAATGTCTATTTCTATGTCAATTTATGCATGTCCGTCTGTCTGTTGAAATTATGATAGAGCTCGCAGCATTTCAGATAGAGCTTTGACATTTTACACATACATTGTTATTACCCCTAGGATGATTGGTATTGGTATGGTAACGATACCCTCCCATATTCAGTATTTTTAAGCTTTTGGGCAACTCTTTCAACCGGGTTCTCACTGAGAAGAAAATCTTTCTTCTAAAAATGATCAATATTCTTACCCTGTTTAGGGTATTCCTCATATATCCCAAAATTCGATATTTTGGCCTCCTGGGTACAATTTTGTGTTTTGGATTCTCATCAAGTAGAAAATCTCCCTATCGAATTTTTTTTAGGCCCCCCATAATGTTCTCGTCCTATTATCCTTATTATTTAGATTTTAACCCTACTTTTTCGTCGAAGTGACTAATGGGTCGATTATGGACAGCAACCAAACTCCAGTTGCGAGTTCAACTGGCAACGCAATTGAAATGCTGTCGATAATACTGTTTTCACATTTCTACAACTAGAAATATTGTAAACGAACAAAAAAAAATGAATAAAATATATCAGAAAAGCTAATTATATGTGATGATAAGCTCAGTGAAACTATTTTTTGATCAAGGTGTGTCATTTATTAGAAGGCATTTAAGAGATAAATCTATTAGAACTACCATCAGTTCTGTGAGTATATGCTGACGTTTAGAGAAATGTTCAATCAACTGCTCATATTAGCTTGAAGGGGTATTTTCGACTACCAAAATATGTCCTTGTGTACATAGATTAAGCCTTAGACCAGTGTTGAACAGAACTAAATTAAGAGTAAGTGCGTGAGAGCGTAACTGAGAGATCATCAACAAAAATGACTGACGCAAAGAGAGACAAAGAGAAAACGTGTTTGGCCATCACCGCTATCGTACTATTTTGTGCATTAGTGCCTTAGACCCTGATTTCCGAAAAGCATGGCGGTCAACCGCAATTCCTCCTCCCTTAAAAATGTGTGCAGCTCTTATGTTTTTTGTGGAGGGAAGTTTTCAAAAGTCCCATAGCAATGACTTCAACCTTGGCATGGCTCAACCGACAATGTCAGTGGTTTTTTTGTCAGTGGTATCCAAATTAACGGAGGAGGAAAAAGGGAAGAATAACATTTTTTTATTCGAAAACTAAGTTCCAGGGTGTTGTCGGATGTATTCATGATATACACGTACATATCATGGACCAAAAAGAAGATGTTCGCCACTTTCTGCCATTCATTTGGAATGTCATAGCAGTTAAGGTCTTCTGAAATGGCCTCCCACACACCATCGATAGTGGCTTTGGTTTGACCAAAAGTCCGCACGCTGCGTGCTACATTTGGGTGAGCTTCCATCCGGGCAATAAGGACCTCAAATTGTTCTTTTGTAGTAATATTAACCATTCTGGGAAGCCTACAAAGTTCAGTTATTATAAACAGCAACCAGAAATAAATGGTTGCCGAAAAATTATATTTGAAGCAACTGAAGTTGACAACAGTTGCCATCAATAATGCGAATTTAGCAACTGGCAATGCAACTAAACTCTGGTTGCCATTCGTAATCGACCCATAAAATTTCTCATATCGGATTCTTAAAACAACTTACTTCCAGAAATTATTCAAATATAGTGCCCGATTAGTTTTCGGTATTTTGAAGTTTCTACCCCAGGATTCCAGCCTGAGTGTCTATAATTTGGACATGTTTTTTTCGGAGCATGAACTATACACTATTACATAAAGCGTGCGTTTTAAGATCATCTTTAAATGCTACGTTTTTAAGATTACTATTAAGGCGGAGATTTTATAAAAATGTTTGTTCATGGTTTTTTAATTACTATTTTTAAAAAATAGAGAAATCAATTATTTTTATATAAACTATAGGACTTAATTTAAATGCTTCGGAATATTCGATATGAACAGTTTTGTTGTATGATTTGTTGCAATTTTAAAGCAGGACTTCTATCATAGAAGTCCTGCTCTCTATTTGAAAAATTTTTTTTGTAGTCGATTTTCACAATCCTTACTAGATACCAATTTTTTTATCATTAAAAATATTAGCAATGCAAGAAAAATATGTATGGCGGATGCATTAAAACTTCTCAACGAAGCTTCCGAAGTTTCTGGCGAGTCAATGTAGATGTGTGTGGCCTAGTGTTGTCCTGGTGGAACACAACACCTCTCCTGTTGGTTAATTCTGGCCGTTTCTGGTCAATTGCTATCTGCATAGGAGAACCATCCTGGCAGTCAGCCCTGGTTTGGCCACCGTTTGAGATGCTTCACCGCTCTTTGACCGCGATCGTTTTCGCACAGGTTTATCGTATGTGATCCATTTCTCATCTCCAACCCAAAATTAATTCCAAATCTCAGGATACCACCTCCATCGGTTCAACTAAATCCAAATTATATAAAATTTAGTAACATTTAGTACACATACGTACAAATTTCCATGACTACTTACATTATGCAAACCAATGGAAAGCTGATTACCCAATTTCAGGATTCGATTCACTCTAATCCAAATTGTACCAAATTTAGTGTCATTTAGTACACATTAGTAGACACATACCCCAAGCCAACATCCCAACAGTTATCCTAACTTCAAATTTCGAGATTCCAGTTCTGTTCCAAAACTTTCTACACACTACTTTTCTCCAACAATAATCCTAACCTGGACCTAATTCAGTGCTCTGTGCAAAATTTTGTCCCAATCGGACAAATATTTACATAAAATCGGACGAAACAATATATATATATATATATATATATGGGAGCTATATCTAAATCTGAATTGATTTAAAAAAATCACATACCTAAATCTGGGCCTAATTTAATAGTCTGTGCAAAATTTTGTCTCAATCGGAAAAATGTTGGGAGTTTGCTGCACCATTTACCTAAAAATGGACGAAACTATATATGGGAGCTATATCTAAATCTGAACCGATTTTCTCCAATTTTTCGAATATAAAGTTCACGTCACTAATATTAACCAAACAAGATTTTTTAGTACATCTGGAATAGTTAGATTTTTCCATCTCTGGTTTGACTGTAGAACAAGAGCTTTTCAAAACACAATGGATACGTATGGTTGTTGTCTTCGGTGAACAAAAGACAATTTTTACAGGGTGCCTCTTGTACACATTTTTTATTCATTTGTATTGTCTTTACTAAATTAAGGTAATACCAGAGATTAATTCTTCACAACTTAATATTTAATTTTAAAATAAAAATGTTAATATGTTAAAAAATGTCAATAAATAAAAGTTATTTTCGGATAATATGTAACGTTCTATTATCGGAGGCTGCGTACAAAAATAGAGGGGAACTATGGCAAAATTTTGTGTAAATAAGTCGAATCGATATATCTTAAACAAAATCGGGGATACAAATGTAAAACTTATTATATGTTTTCAAATATTTCATATTCTAATTGAACATTTTATATTTTTTTATCTTTTGTTTTTATTTCAACAAAGTTGAATTGTCATTGTTGAATTTTTTCAACTTCGTCCGTCGACGTTATAACCACTATCAGTTATTGTAACCAATTTCGCCGCTCCCTTAGCGATATACGTGATTGATTTTAATTTTTATTTAATTATAATAAAATTTACAAAAATACATAAAAATAAAACTAAAACATCTAAAAAAATAAATACATTTTTTATTTCATTTCAAAATTCTTACTTCAACAAATAGACAATCATTCTTCACATAATTCGGTTGTTTCAATATCGTATGTGGTATATGGAAGAATTGTTTTGTCTGTATATAATCATCACTTTTCTTTCGCACCAAAACAGTTTTTACATAATCCTCTGGTTGCGCGGCATTTATTGTTTGATCTCGTATAATAACATCGGCTTGTAGACGACAAGGCCATGGCAGCAGTGGGTCATATTCACCGGCAATAACATTTAGGCAGGCAATCATATTGCGACCCTTCCACGTTCCCTTGCCATTTAGATAAATGTCAAGCTAAAAATTGGTATCGTGATGATAAATA